GACGATTGCATTCGTTCAATAATAATTTTAAACTACAGCGTGTCCCATTTACGGTGTCCCTTTTGCGCCGATCTCTGATCAACAGGACGATTACCAGATGCCCGCAAACGCTGCGCGAAGCACTCGCGAGGCGGATAAGGGCAGAGTGGGACACTATGATTGGACAGACTCTACCATTTTTTCTAAGTTGTAAAAATACTCACTCTGATAGGTTGAGACGGTGGCGGTAACAGTGGTGGCATCTCTACGGTTGATGATCGTTTTGATCGGACACCTATGAAAAGCTTAACTTCTTATTCATTTACAAAAAGCAGCTAATAGTTTATCTGCCACAAATAATTATGTTTAAAGCTTATATTAGATCCCTTACGATTGGCTTCTGTCATACCCTCAAGATCTGGGAATAGACGGCAGGATTTGTCCAAACCTTCGGGTCGCCAACCTATGGATACCCAAGATGTGGAAGCAAAGTCGAGGATGATTTCCACGTCGTTCTGTAAAAACAAAGATGAAAGGTGCAGTAGTCTTGATAGAATTATAAATTTTGCGTGACGTGCGCTAGCACTGCAAACGCTTTGCATCATGCGTGCGACGCGCTAGCATCGTGGTGGGACCGCCCTGATACCTAAGTGGTATTTTGGGATAAAACTAAGCAATTATTGTAAATAACTGAAATCTTTTCCAGAAAATATATAAAAATTTAAGTCTTCTTTGTACAAATTATTTCTTGAGTGTGGCTTACGGACGACATCGAAAAAATTGAAAAATTATCTGGGTTACCGCCGCAAAAAAGCATCTCAAGAATTTGTTCAAAGGTTGTGAGTAACGCCATTTCCTTTGAAATAAAGGGTGCCTTTTTTTTGCTCGCTAAGCTGTGCGAACGGTGCGTTTGCGTTACCGACAGCAGTTGCGCGTAATAAATGGAAGTGAAGTTGAAAATGTGGGCAGAAAAGCCGTTTTTCACGAGCAATTGTTGTCGGCGTCGCAAGGGCACTATATCAGACAATCGTATCCGCTACATTGCACGTACTTAAGCTTACGCTGACTGGGAGCCGAACCTATAAAACTGAAGAAAAATCAGGCCTGCAAGTGAAACCTTACCTTGACTTTCCTATAGTAGATTACATCATTTTCATTGATTTTCTCCTTATTGTAGCATGAAGAATCAAACATTCCATACATTTCATACTTTTTCTCTTGTATACTTGCATAGGAAAAGCAAGTATCTTCCACTCTATCGTAGGCTGAAATGAAATTTTTCTTGATACATATAGACCTAAATTCCTTTCCCACTTTGTTCGCAATTTTTGCCAAAGAATCCATAACTACAGTAGCAGCTGGCACTGGCAATTGAGTTCGGTTCAGCTAGACATTTACCACCGTTGAGGCAATCATCATCATGATGACAATTAGCTGGAAAAAGCATGCGTTTATGCACTGGGTGAGCTTTTATCGGGTGAAATGTTTGACTTACTTATATACTGGCAGATATCGCCTCTGTATCCATGTTCGCAAACGCAGCGATTTTCCGACATAGTGCCATGACCACTACATTTGTCATCTTCTGAAAAAATCCAGTTTAGTGGAAGTTAGAACTTTGTTTAGGTTGCGCTTTTTGAATTGCCGCCAAAAAGGAGAGGAGGAAGAGAATGGAGGTTCCAAAATCTAGCCGGGACGGCAGTAGCTCAGCTGATGTTGCGTGTAAATCTGTCCACGCTTGCATCGTGCCAGTGCCGTGCCAATGCCGTGCTAGCGTCGAGCCAATGCCGTTTCAGCTGCGCCGCAATGATTGGTCAATACGAGCGTCCAAGAGCCGGTACCGGCATAGCACTAGCACTCGTTGGCGGTGGAACGGCGCTGGCACAGCTCCGGCACTAGGGCAATTCTAAATACTGTCTAAAGGCCACACTGACGTCAACTTTATTGAAGTTTTTTCACAATAAAGATTAAACCCTCTTTCTTTTTCTTCTGCAGAAAATCTTTTGTAAGAGTTTGTATGGTTGTCGCCTACCAGGCATAGTTTCCAGCACGTTCACGTCGGCACAGCTTCGAAACCGATAGTTTTGACCCCATTCCAATGCTTGCCGTTCAAATATCACCGTACATTGTGAGCATGGTCGAGTAAACTGGACATTCTGGGCTTGAGTTCTGGAACAATCTTAGGGTTAGAGTCTACTGATAGCTGGTTTCACCTGGAGCTTACATTGGTTCATCGGTACCGGCAAATTCCATTCCATTTAACGGTGATAATTCTTCGATAAGTTGGCCTTCTTTGTCGACAAGAGCTATCCGGTAGCCACCCTTCAAAGTACTCATTTTTAAAGTATTGATTGATTTTGTTGCTACGAAATCATCTCAAGAAAATGGTGTCTCTAGCATCAAAAATTTTTTTCGAAGATAATCACAAACCTGATGTGGATATTGCATTCTCCAGGTGATATTATAAGTGCTGCCGGCAATTAAGTTTGTATAGTGCGCTGCAAATAAATAAATTATGTCAGGTTGCGTCTAGACTTGCATGTTCCAATGTCGTTCCAGCGCCATGCCGGAGCTGAGCCAGCGAGGTCGACTAAACAGCACGCAGAGCGTCCACGTGGGGACCTGCGCGGCTCCGGCACGACTCTGACACTTCACTGGAACGGCATCGGCTCGCGATATTTTCATACGCAGCTTTGGGGAATATACAGAGTAATGGAAATTATTTTTTCTGCATTAATAGTACAGGCTAGCTTTCCAAATTTTTTTGCTTGTGATCAAAAAACTCAAGTTCAATT